GACTGTGAGTAACTCTTGTGTTGTATGTATTGTAATATTATTATATAATTTGTTACACTGTGGCTGTGTTGTGTGTGTTAAGCTGCTGTTGCACTGCAATTTTCCTCACGGGATCAATAAAGTATCTATCTATCTAGGTTAACAATACACACCATACATTAAACTCGATGACCAAATCAAGATTCTTGATCAGTCATCACATAGTGTACATGCATCCCATAGCCATCGTATATCCCAGTATAACATGTATGGTATTAATTGAAGACAACAGAATGCTACAGGCCACACACATTGGAGGGACTGGAGTGATTCTGTTTGGAAAAGTGGTCAAATATTCTTCACTGAAGTCTGAGAATCTATTAAAAAGCTACAGGAAGCACCCCTTAAAGTTATCAAAACAAAAGGAGTCTTCACAATAGTGTTTGTGGGGGGTATGAAGAAATCTGAACATTATAAACCTGAAAATATTTTACTGTTTTTTTTTAAACAAAAACTCATATTTTATTATTGATTTGTATTGAAAATAATTTAGTTATAATTTAGTTGCAGGTCATGAGTAATTTTGGAGATGCAGTTTCCAGCATCACATAATTTATTTTTACATCCCAAATGACCTTAAGTTAAATTTGCTAATACTTTGTATGTATGGTGCAGTAGTTTTACTAGGCTAGATGGAGAGCTTGTTTGCTGGTTAACACATTGTGTGGCCTGCATTATAGCAGTTGTTCTGAAAAGTGACTACTTAAAAAAATATTTCTAATTTCCTTTGCAATACAGATACATGTTGTATATGTCAAAATTCAAATTAACCTTTTAGCCTTAATTATTTATCCTTTATACAGCATATAATATTGATTCCCTCTGAATACAGTACTCGAGCTCTTAGCTTTTACGATTTGAATTTTAAAAATGTGTATACAAACAACGGAGGATCCACAGGCACAAAACTGTGAAGGTTTCTTTGCTAATGGCAAAACTGACAGTATTAGCGTTACTTATTTCGGTGTAAAGTAATTCTAAGAATTGCAGTATTTTCTTGATTACATTTAGCTTAAAGTCTAGCTAAGCAAATTCAATCAAAATGTATTACAATAAATAAAAAAATATATATAGTACAAAATTAGCTAATTAGCGTGCCAAATGCTGTCAGGAAGAACTCCTCTGGTATCAGTAACATGAAATCTCCCTTTGATAGGAACTAAATAAGCATAGTTATGTTTCAACGGGGACTGATGACCGTGGAAGGACTCGTTGCTAGAGGCAGCCAGCGTTACTACTTTATATAAACCAAGTAGGAACCTATGAAGCTCGACGAAGAAACAACGGTGCGTACAAAAAAGCGTAAATTGGAAGTTTAGAAAAACTCTAATCTCAGATTAAAAACGTCTGTTTTATTAACGTTTCACAGTGGTATTTAAATGCTATACTTCGTGAACCGCAATATACAACAATTTTATGGGATTAAAATAAATCGGATTAAAATCAGTGCCATATCTGTAATATCACAACCTTAATCCCTGTTGCAACGAAGGAAGAAGTTATCGGTCGTCTACATTTTATTCAGTTTTGGTTCGCCAGAATTTTTTAACGCTGGCAGGCTTCTCCGGCAAGAACTGAGCATTACCGTCGTTGATAAGAGAAACATGGAAGAAACGCTTTGTACATGTATGTATTAAATATATGTTTCCAGAGCAGATAAAAAAGGGAAAATCAATGTAACTTTATTTATGCTACATTTGTGCTTTTGTAATTAATCTGAAAACGACTTTATACCACAAAATACTAATAATATCGGAAGACAGTTGGAACAGTATGGAACGAAGAATTGTTTAAAACATTCTTAGAAAGTGTGTCTAATGTGATGGAACAGTTATTAATATGTCATTTAAACAGACAACCTTCTGTGGAGCAAGAGATAGGGTTGGGCTGTTTGAAGAGAAGTTCGATAAAGACGATTGACACACTGGGCAGTTTTTTTTCCTTTTAATTAAAGGATTCTTCAAGCAAGCAGTACCCCCACCAAAAAAACCCACCAACAACACCACCACCACCACCACAACGAGCATTAATGTTTGTTATTTGGGAGATTATCAGTACCTCCTCACTGAATATCGCCTGTGCTCGATGTTTGGGAAAAAAACTGAAAAAAACGTTTAGCCCTACGATTTACAGCCATCGCAGAAACCAGACTGCTTCCGTGGATCATGAGTGGAAGGGTACCTTTAGCAGAGAAAGCCCTTTCGGAAGCATATGCGAACCTTAGATACAAAGATACATCGTTGCTCATATGGCAGCAGCAGCAACAAGAATTGGAGCAGGCACCCCCTACAACCTATCTTAACCGCAGCCAGAGCATGTGGTACTCTCAGAATGGGAATCAGGCCATTTTGGTGAAGGACAGAACCAAGCTGGGTACACGAAGAGACATGGAGCAGTCTAGAATTTGCTTAATAATGTAATGAACATGGGTGGTTTTTAAAAACACTTTATTGTTGTTAAACAGTATTTTGGTAATCTACACTACAAAGAAATGTCAGTGTCTTTGTTTACTTGAAGACCTGTGCGTTGAAGGAAAGTTGTAAGAACTGAAATCTATATTAAGTACAATTTAATTCAGTGTGGATAAATGAATGCTGACACTGTGCATGTTAGGGAGCTGTGAAATGATCCTTTCCTTTACAGGTATACTTCACAAAAACACTTTTTTATACATGCCAATACAGAATGTCATAGCACTTCACTCTACCAGTTTTATTTTACAATCCTGTAACTTTTTAGTGATGTATTTCCCAATTATACAAATAATAATACAAATGTGGTAGCATGATTATTTTGTTCTATAACTTTAAGCTGTGATGCCATTTCACCTTGAAATGCTACCCACCCATTTTTTTTAAATTATTTATTATATAGTACAGAACACTAATATAGTCCTACAGAATTTTAAACTTTTTTTTACAGGATCAAATATTTTGTGTGCTGTTGTAATTATTATTAAATGCAGATATTGTATTTTTTATCTGAATTATGTTTCATATTTATTACAAAATTGCAAATGCAAAAGTAGATGTTAAACTTTGTTGTGAGAAAATAATTTCACTTCACTTCAGAACTCACTTTCTAATCTAAACTTCATAATATTTTGAAGGCATCTGCAAGTTTGGTTATCAGTATTAATGTAATATTTAGCAATAAATCTTTATTATTTTTAACCTAAAATGTTACCTTTTTAATAAGGTTAATTAGTTGCTCTTATATTTGAAATCTGTACTTAAAGGTTTTAACATCTGTGTCCTGATGCCACTTCATGGCACAATTAGACACTTTAATCAAAATATTGGTTGTCTCAATGCTGCAAAGTTCCTTTAATACAAGATGCAGATGCACTTCATATTTCATATTGTAATATTTAGATTAGTTCATATGTAAATATTACAAATTTGTAACCAAGACTTGTATAATAAAGCAGTCTTTTATTTGGGGAGTTAGGAAAATCACATTTCCTCAGTATTCTTTAAGTGCACAAAAGACCACTGACAAGGTTAGTAGAAAAAGTGTTGCCCTCAACTTTTGGTAACACTTTAGATTAGCAGCTACTGATTACATGTATTAATTTAGGTAAATTTAGTAACCAGCGATTTGCTCTACAAATCACAATACAAACTATGTTATGAGTACATTAAAAGTTGTAGTAACCTATCTGTTAATATATTGTTTTTAACTGTTTTTAACACAATGGTTGATTATTGTGTGCTTTGTTTGTAGGCCTATTACAAACATCTCATGTGAAAACTGCAGTATGGAGCAATGAAATGTGCTCTATGTACAAACAGGGACAAGCGGCATAAAGAATACAAAACATTCCAGTTATTGTGCATAGTACAGTATTGCCAGCACACCTGCTTAGGTAGCAATGTATGGTGTGAAACAGTCCATTGGGTTGTGTTCATAAGTCTTCCATGATCACATGCACTTTTTGTTCCAGAGTGCAGTTTTTGTGACAGTTGTTTGAATTGGGCAATCTGGCAATCTATATGTGCAAGATCATAATTATAATTGTATTTATGATTATAATGATCTGTATAATTTACTATTAACATGCTTATTGTGCCTTTCTGAGGTATTGCAACAGTGTTTTAACATCACTCTGTGACAACAATATGTTAAGATATACATTATACATACACAGGGTTTCACGTTTTTTGTTGTTTATTTACGAAAAACAAAACAAGCCCCATGTGAGTTACAGGGACCCTGGTTAGCAGTTACATCAAATATTAGCTTCTAATTCTCCCTTCCCCCCCCCTCCCGCAACCCTCCCTACATTTGGCTCACAGGCCAGTGTTGCAATAAACAAGCCTAAAACTACTTACACTGAATCCTTGTTTTCTTTTCCAATGACTGACATTTACAGGAAGATACTATAAACAGCTCAAAAAAAGGTATAAGAAAGTTACAATAAACCTGCATGCACATCATACATAAAAAGTAAACTTTTGTCTTTTTTTAAAATATAAAAAGAACTATTATATCTGGATCAGGGCCTAAAAATCAACTAAAAAGTGGTGAATATATATATTTATATATTTTTTTCAGTCTTTCAGCTCTAGTTATATCACTCACTACAGAAACCTAGACGGATCTGTATAAGTGAACATTGCTTTAAGTATAAAAAATGTATACGAAGTTTTGGGGACTTTTACAGGTCAGTGATGCCAAATAAAATCCAAAACCACCACATAAATCAACTGTTATTTCATCATGGTTTGCATTTTGGAGGAACTTTAGAATGCAATTCAAACATTAATGCTACAAAAATTAACTTAAACTATTCACCCAATGAAACAATTTAACAAATCATAAAGATACCATAATGGGATTTCAGTTGAGGATTATTCGACAAATTCACGAGGCAAAAGACAAATACATTCTGAAACCAGTGTTTTACACCACATAATTATAATGCGCACATTAAGAATGTAGGTCACATGCTTTATGATCTAGACAGCTGTTTCAGTGAAGGAACCAATTCATATAGTGCAGATTAACATGTTACGCTTAAACTGACCAATCAAGAATCTCATTTTAACAAAACCCAAGAAGGTACTAGTGTTGAACATCTCAATGTACCACTCAGATGATAACATACTAAGAGAAATGTTAACCCACAGCTTTACATTTAATAGCACCAACAGCTTACCAAATTTTCAAATTGTTTTATATTAAACCAACCCTGGTTTCAATTTACCAATATATCTGTCTTTTCCTGCTGTATAAAGTAAATCGTTGGGCACAATTCCACAATTATAAATAATAACAGCATAATCATTCGGGATGTCTTACATTCAATGTTCCCTAGCGCGGCAGCCATGATTTCTCAGCCATACAGAAACACAAGGCCTAATGGGCACACACGTCCTATGACCATTCTGCTGTGCTATAGCTGCTATTTCTTCCACTGTGTACTGTGTAGCACTGGATGAGAACACAGTTTATGAACAGGTACTACTTAAAACACGAAATGAAGACATGGAAGAAAAAGACAGGAAATGGGTATAGAACACAGTAAATAGTGGTGAGTTTAAAATGTAACATTACAGAACAGGGACCCTTAGAGCTTTGTAGTTTTTTTTTCTATTTAAAACATAATGAAATAAAAAAATGCAAGCAAAAAAATTAATAATAATAGTCCAAAACCGCACATCAAGGCAGTTCTAAGTCAGTCATACTTCACAGTGGCCTTATCAAATGATTTGGCAGTTTAGCTTCTGAATATAAATTCAGTCCGGAAAAGTCAATTTATCATTGTGTTCAGGGGATAAAATATATAAACACTATTTTCTAAACAGAAAATTACATTTCCATACAAAACACTTTGTCACAAACAAATTGGAAACAGGTCTTTAAAATCAGGAAGGCCCTAATTATACACATTAAATTCCCAATACAAAGAGTCTTTTTTTATCAGCTGGGAAGCTCTGGCCTGATTCAGATAATGTCTGTGACTACAACTTTACAGAACACATAGATGTATATTAGCCAAAGGGATCTGGTTATTAGTCACTCAATCGTAGATTGAATAGTCAAAGCCCAATATATGACTGTAAAAGAAAACACCTTTTATATTACAAACTGCAATATTCTCATTTATTTTTATACAGCTGAAGGGTTTTTGTGTGAAATATCCCAAAACAGAGTTTTAAAATCATTTACACCATATTGTTAATCAGACAGGAGTTCAGCCTCCTCTCATAGAGTCTAATAAATGACACCATGGCAGACTACCTTCAAAAGTTTTCCCCAACATGAAAATAGTTTACAAATGGGTAATGACTTTCTATTTCCCTATTTTAATATTGCTGAAAGAAGTGGAAGTAGAAAATTGGATAACAAAAGGTATACATTTAATAGTTCTGCCCTCATGTCACACAGAAAGTTATCAACCACTCAAAATTTACATTTTAAAATGCCTTCAGTGTACTTTAATTTTAATTAGGAACACTTTACTATATGTATTATTCAATGTTAGAGATTTTGCTCAAATGTCTGCTTTCCTATAGAGTCAGTTGAAAGCCAACTGAAGTATATAAGTCTACTGTACTATTTTAAGGACAGTTTGCACAAGCATTTCTCTTGATTGTCATACAGAATGGACCTTAACAGGCTACTGGAGTTCCAGACATTGAAAAAAGGGGAAACAATTTCTATATGCAGCACAAGTTTAGTATACAGTATATGCAAGTTCAACATTTGTCCTACAAAATCTGTACAGGATAATATAACAAAGTTAAAGAAAACACCAGCAAAACAGACATACAAATTAAAATGCGAAAACAAAACTGGCATATTTACTTTAAAAAATGATGAAAGTACCAAGGGGAACTAAATTAATCTTTAAGAGAAATAAAACAGGAAATCATTATTTTATTGCAAGTGTCTTAGTTTTTATCTTTTATTCATGGTGATCAACTTCAGACTGCAATAGTTCCTCTTTTTTCTGATTCACTTTACAGTGTATAAATAGTTGACATGTTTGGCAGTCATCGACGTATTTATACCAATAACTTTCCTGAACCCTAAAAAAGCACCAAAACAAGAAGAACAGATTACCATATAGTACCACCTTTAAGATTAAAAAAAGGCTTTCAATTTTAAGTTGGTATTGTTTTGTATTTGCTTTTAAAAAGTGTTTAAAAACTAAAAAATACTATTTGTTGTTTGTGTACATAATAAATTGGAGGTCAAATAAATAAAAAGGTATCGAGATATATACACACACGGGCAGATGTTCATGATTATGGAATGTGACAAGGTTTCAGTTACCCCCTTCCCTACCTCCCCAACAAGGCTGCACAACATCCCAGTTTCAAAACTGAGCCAGAGACTCCTCCAAGTTCAGCTGTAGCTTGACAAAAAACGTTTGTTGGATCTTTTGACAAACACGTAACTATAATATACATTTTCCAAACAGACGTAACTTACTGGCAGGGCCCCCCAAAATAAGACCTATACTCCTTTTCATTTGTCCAATTCATTAAGTAATAAAAACTGCTAACTGTAAGAATTTTGTTCTGGTAATGTTAGGCATTTCCCTTTAAAGGCCAGTGACACAATAACACCACACTTTCATTCAGCTAGGTTTCCTCAAGATGTTTTTTTTTTCTTTTTTCATATTTATAAAAATTTTAAATGTTCTCTGACATTGTTTTACTTCTTTGTGACTTATAAAACATAAGTCCTAGAGGGAAATAACCATGACTGCATACAATGTTTTTTTTTTTAAAAAAAAAGTAAAAATGAACTAAAACAAGAAAAAAAGACATGCGGCGTGTGTGTTTTAATCAGAGTCGCTGCTGTCTGAGCTGGAACCACTCGAACTGCTGCTCCCAGAGTCAGAAGAACTGCTGCTCCCACTCAGCCTAGAGGGGCCTCCAGCAGGAGTGGAGCCGGCCTTCTCTGCTGGGAAACACACAAGACACAGCATTACCAACACCATGCCAGCAAGAGGGCAAACTGAACTTGCACTACGTTAGAGGAGCTGGCTACTCTTAACTGAGGTGAACGTCCATCTGCCAAGTACGGGAAGCAACCAATTTTGTATCTTCCCAAACTGTGGAAGACACATTCCCTCAGAACAATCCCTGCTTACCCTGGTGATAAAATACAGGGCCTGCGGCTTCCAAATTTGATGTCTCAGTCGAATGATTTTGACAAATTCATTGCATTAGCAAGGTTCACACTGGAGAAATATTAAAATTTTACAGGGTTACAGAGATTGTGTTGACCTAATCCAAATATAAAAATATGCAATAGGAGAAGCAGGAAAATACCCAGTGTCTTAAATGTAAAAAAATAAAATGATATAGACCAGTTTACTTCAATGCTTTTAATATCCATTAAATCCCTGAACTCTGGTATTTTAAAGCAGATTATGTGAACTTTTCTGACTTGTGCGTTCTGCTTAGTTCTGTTTCTGCTTGGACTACAATTTATTATTGCATCAACCAGTTAATTTTCCAAAACTCAAGGGGACTGATGTCAGGAAATATTGTAGTGCAGCAAAACACAGCTTTCCTATAGGATATGGAAGCATGTTCTAAGGATAATTTACTTTATTTACTCACTGGTAAATAAAAAAACTATGGCTGCAAAAAAGCTTATTCATAACTTGCTACCATTGCAAATCAAAGCAGAAACAACTGAAAATCATGGAATACGTACAAGAAGAGACCTGTTTAAACCAGAAAACGCAAAGAATTGGTTTCTGGTTAAAGCTTTGTAAATTAAAGATGGTGGAAGTAGAAGACACTGGCAAAATCAGTCCTCCAACTTCCATGTTGAATGTGCATATGAAACTCTAAACAGATGTCTTATAATACAATCTTCCATTTTAATTAAAACTTTAAAAACCCTTTCCACTTACCATGTTCTTAGGAGTTTGAGAGGTTCTATAAGTAAACATAAAAAAATACCTGGAGGGCAATGGGTGACGATGTGGACTATAGGATGCATTAAGCAGAGGAACAACTTGACAAAATTAAGGATTTCATCACCCACATCTTGTCTTTGAGAACAGACAAGCATCACTGTCACTAGCAGTGAAGAATAAACTATTAAAAATATGGGCTTCTAGACAAATGACAGGTTGTTTATGAGCTGTGAAGCCCGAGCAGGTGTCAAGAGTAAGGGGCAATGGCACAGAAACATATCCACTTTCACAACACTTATTGCTCTTAAGAAAATAATGTTAAATTATTTTTTTAACACTCCTATGGCAGTGTAACTGAAGGAAGAGATCCCCAAGGACCGTCACAGTAAATGTCCTCATTAGCAGAAAGTGGAAGAAATTACATTCAGTGCATCAAGTGAAACAGCACCGGCCCACATTATATTTTAAAGGATAGTATTATACTCCTACATTTGTCATGGGCAATAATTCCTTTTTTCTGGAAGGGTAGGCATACTTCATATTGTTATCTTTACATGCTTGCTGGTAATCATTCCCAGTAGTATTATGAATTATTAGATCAGTTCAGAAGTCTCTTTAGCGTTTCTTATGCGTGAATAATAGCTCAATGTGAGCACACACTTCTAAAATCCAATTCAGTATTTCAGGGAACAGCTCTTCAGTTACATAGTATTCTCTAATGATTTGAGATGTCCAAAGCACTAGTGCTCTCTTTAACTTGTCAAACTGAGTTGCTAAGACTAAAAAATGGAAATCCAGGTTGATTCTGAATAAAAATGCCCAGTTTCCAAAACATTTATCCTGCCAAGGTCCATGATTACTTTCTAATGATGAAAAAAAAATAAAACAGAAACATGCAAACATACAAGACGCGAACATTGGGAGGAAAAAAGCATGCAGTGAAATAACAGAAGATTGAAACAGAAAGGTCCCCTTTCTAGAAGTAATAAAGTTAGACCTTCCCTCAGGCACGTCTGCGAATTCTGTTATTCAACCAAGAATAAATAAATACAAATCAAATGCTGATAAAGGTCAGTATTCAGCATCCTCCTATAAGTTTCCGAGGTCAGGCAAGTGTTTGTGCTCTTTCCTTGTGGTGAGCACCACCACCACTCTGGAATGCAATCCTGACACAATCGACTATGAACCACTACACTCACAGTTGTTTGCAGTGGCATGGCAGCAGTGAATCTGTCCCTGTCTTTAACTGCTACACCCAGGGGTAGAAGACAGTTACTACATGATGATGTTCAACAAAGTAAATGAGCAAAAGGAATGAACAAAAAATAATCGCTATTTTAAGCACCAATTACACAAGAGGCCACAGGTGAAATATACCCGAGGTGAGTCGAGCACAATTCACTCCGATTAAACTGGATCACCCACTTTTAAAAGAACTGCAGAGCCACTCCAAGGGAACAAGTAAAGTCAAATGAAACGGGAAGACTGAGGGCAATTTCCAAAGCAAGCCAAAACAAGCCCGTTAAAATAAAGAAAATGAAATGGCCTCCTTCAGCAGTGGACATTTCTTTGAACCGCGCTCTAGCTAACCTGCCTACTCTATCTTTCTCTAAAGACAATAGCCCATTCGGCAGCCTGTAAGTCAAGCCGTGTTCAACCCTGAAACACAGGTACCTTTTTTGGGCGGTTTCTTGTTGTTGTTCAGCTGTCCGCTCACGTCCTGCAGCCTCTTTTCTAACTCTTTCTTCTTTTCCTGAGCGAGTTCCTCCTTAGACTTCGCACTTTTTTTCCCTGTGCCAGCTGTGGATGAAACACACAGCCGTGTACAGTAAGTACAGGGATCGATCTAGGACCGCACAGCTGTGTTAACAATGAGCACAGGGAACTTTTCTAGTTTTAAAAAAATAAAATCAACTCAAAGCATCGCCAGGCAATGCACGGCTTATACCAAAAAGTCACTGCCTTGGACTACTGGGTGCCAAGCTCTTTTCTAGCTCAATCACAAACCAAAAAAGGAAGCACACTAAAGATAAACCAACAGACGTGCACAGGGGGTAGGGGAGTGGAGAGAATCTTAGCGCTAGTCAAACGCCTATGGAGCTTGTTTTCCTCTACAGCCAGAGAAAGGTTCTTTTCCTGAAGCAGACCGGTTCTTGAGTCTTTAAAGGAGAGAGAATTCTGTCCCCTCAGAAGAAAGGCAAGCGATTTGCGAGGGGTCGGAGGGAGAGCCACCCTACTTACGTAAAGGTTTCCTCTGCTTTTTCTGTAAACAAGACTTGACGTATCGCTCAAGCTCGCGGAGGGTGGAGGGTTTGAGCGTCTCGAAGTCGATTTCGATCTCGTCGGGGTTGGAGTCCCTGAGCGAGGGCTCTCGGGACTGAATGATGTGAACTACCCGGCCCAGCTTCTCTCCGGGCAGCCGGTTGATGTCCAGGCTGAGTTGCCTCTTCTCGTCGTATGTCATGGGCAATGAATCTTCTTCTTCGTCTGACTCGTAGGTGGCAGCGGGTGGCTTGGCCCCCTTCTTCGGTTGCCTGAAAGTTTTAGTCAGATCTGTGTTATATGACGACTTTCATCTTAAACTGAATTTTAATTTTTACATGAAAGAGAAGAGTGATGTTAGCGTCAAACAGTTATAAACAATATATTCTGGCTTCTGGGTTTGGACTATTTAGAGTATCTAGCTATGATTCCCTGTATTCACAAGTTAACATCCCTATGACATCTGTATTTTGTGTTTCCATGCATCTGTTATATTACATTATTATTTTCACTTCCCTTTTTTTAGACATTAACATATTACTGTTTAAGACTCACAATGAAAACTGCAGTAGCCTCCAAATCTTATTAAATGTAACTGCAAGTTGATTTAGAGAAGAAAATCCAGGTGATATACTTCCAAGATTTTAACCGTTTATAAATCAAAATGTGACAGTAATGTTACACCCAGAAAATGAATACTGAATATTAGAGCAGCTTTACTATGAAAGTAAAAACATTTCTTCATTACATAACTTTCAAATTTACTCTTACCATGTAAATGAAACTTCATCAACTCTAATGATGCTGATAAAAATATCCTTAAGATATTCAACTTCAACTATGGTGTCGCTCATCAAAAAATCAAAGGCTACCAAAAGGGATGGTTGCTACCCTAACTAGGAAAAGGATCTAAATTTGCCAAAATGTGCAATCAGAAAAGCACTTTTTGGAAGCTCACATCCAAGGGTAATTAAGAATCTTCAAAAAAAACTTTGGCACTGTCAGGAAGCACTGTCTCCAACACCACTAGTTGAAGTTAACCTCATTAATTTAGTGTCTGTGGTAGACATGGCCAACATAAAAAACAAGATTGTGCCAAATAGCAAGTAACTGACTGCCAAGTCAATAGGACCACATGATGTCGTTGGATGAAACAAACCACGCTTCTGGACAATCTTATTATCAGCATTACCAGAAAGCAGAAGCTCATAATGAAAATAGATAACATAGATGTCATCCCTTCTGTGAACAAAAGAAATTGATCTGTCCTTGCTTTAGAGGTGTTTTGCATCCTCTGGTCTTGGTGTTCTCAACAAAACCGAGGTGTAGTTTCTCAAGTACTCGAGATTTACATCAAGTGAAGTTGCAAAAGTACTTTACAATAGGACAACACGACAAAGCTTCCATCAATCTCAATAACTAAATGGTAAAGAAAGCATGAAAATCAATGTTCTTGGTCAAGACTGTAGAACAATGATGGTATGGACTGAACAAGGAAGATCACAGGTTTTGTGGCACACAGCCTAATGGAGACGGAAAGGTCCTATAATGAGAAGTGGTCAAACATCCCTTAAGAAAACAATAAAAGGCAAAAGAACGCACATGTTCGAAGGTTGGAAAAGGTTAAAGAACTTGCAATGTATTGATTTCTTGGGTGAATGTATTTGGACAATATTTAGAATACTGTTCTAGTTTAGAATAGAATATGATTCTAGTTTTGACAAATCTCTTTATGCAATCAATATTAAAAGGTATTGAAGTCTTAAGTTTTCATCTATTCAAAAATACTTGAATATACCAATGGATTTTCATACTAAGTCCATTTTTTCCACTTTTTTAATGACATCTAAACAAAGGGCTGTGGGAGTTTGTAAGAAACTGCCCAGCCAAAGTTTTGAAGTTAATGAAACATATTGAAAGATAATGACCAGTAGTTAACACTGTATTAATATTGTCTGACGCAATACTAATACCTCACTGCAAATATCACCTCAGATGGCAGATTTACAGTGCATAGAGGTACAGATTCTGTGAGACAGAAAAGCTGCTCTTTAGTATTGTAACTGTATTCGCAGTGAGCATATTAATCAAAACTATTATTATTATTGGAATCCAAATAAAGTCAGATGAAGATATAAATGTTCTCTAATATTGAACAACACTTGGGAGAATCAGTATTGTTTTCAAAGAAGGGATATTTATGAGTAATTATGAAGTTTATTCTGGACAATTTGAATCGTGTACATCAGTACATTCAGTCAGCTCTCAAGTAAGAATGTTATTCCCTTGTATCATGTATAAAATGACCAGTTTTCAACATTTCTGGCTTCTCCTTGCAATTCAGCCATGAAACTCATTTGTCAACTTTGTCAGACATGAGAAACATGGTGATTGATAAAACCAACACAAATACTGGGGAGCTTCAGTGCAGCTGGTTTTTATATTACAGTTTGAAGAAAAGGCTTCTGTTTGAAGGAACACATCCATGAATTATCTGCTAGCCATTCTTTTGACACACAGGGTGTCAAGCCAGCACAGGAAGATGAAATACCTGGTTGCGGTAGTTGTGCTGTTGGCTTTCTTCGTAGGTGCTTTCTTCTGCTGTGTTTGTTTAGCCGGCTGTGATGACTTGGCCCTCTTCTCTTCCTCAACTTTCCCCTTGTTGTGTTTGTCCTTGTCCTTCTCCTTGTCTTTTTTCTTCTTCTCTTTCTCCTTCTCCTTCTTCTCCTTCTTCTTCTTTGGCTTACTTACCGGGGCCTGAGAGAGAGCAGCTAACTGCTCGTGGACCGCCTTAAGCTGGGGAGAGATGCAAACAGAGTTGTCTATCAGCTAGAGGGCCCCAGAGAAGCTCAGTTCCAGAATAGGAAAGCAGGGACTGTGGGGATGTAGAACAAGTCTTGTCAAATGATCATGTCTCTTTGTTGTTTCACAAAATGGGAATTTTCTATAAACTGCTGGTGATTAAAAATGTTAAAAAACAAATGACTTTTTATCTGGCATTATGCTTAGCTTAAAAGATTTCTTAAGACTTCTACAGCTGCTAAGGCATAAACTCTTGAGTAACAGTAGTTTTGCTAAAGTGAACTTATTTTTTCTTTTGCAAATTGCTTTTGTATTTATAATCGTATAAAATACATTTAGTTCTACTCGCTCATTTAGGTTGCGTAAAAGAGCATCTATAAGAACCTTCCCCCAGGTAGGTTTGCAAACCTGTTGTTTTACAGGGCAATGTTTTAAATGGTTTTACCGCATATACTAATAAATCATGTAGCAGCGAGTAAGCATGTTGAAACATTATACCATTGCAAGGCAGATAATGAGAAATTAGCAAAGTGAAAGAAAATGAATAAAGATCACAAAAGAGTGAACTTTGTAGGGGAGAATCATTAAGCGCAGCTTAGGTTAGAACACACAAGTGGTGACAGAATACGTCTTTAAAAAAGAATATCGGAAAGTCTTGTCCCATTACAAACCATTTTGCACCATTACAAATTTTGCCATAGCTTTAACAGTCTCTAAACATAAAGAAAAGGGCAAATCTCTGAGCGCAGCACAGCAAGCTTTCGCAAGGAACAGCTGAAAGTGCTTAAACCAAAGCAACCCTGCCATTTTGACTCCTCTGACTTTTGGTGGACATTTAATCAGTTGCCTCCATTTTTTAACCCTCTACCGCTTAGATCAAGGTGCAACACAATGGCCGTTAAATAAGGAGTTAGTGGGGACCTGTAAATAAAAAGTGAATCACCTGAAAATGTTTGGCACACCCGTTTTTTTTTCCTGCCCCGTTACCATTGGGGCGCTCCAGAGTGATTTGCTGGCAAAAAAGTTAAAGTGAAATCAGGGGACAAGATATAATATGCCAAAGATCATGTTAAAATGAGTTAGACAACATTTACTTTTTTTAAAGTAAAACAATAACCTTTAGCTGCTACTATGAACCAATATCATTTCTAAGAAAGCTATGAAAATTCAAAGCCTAACTAATAGGTACAGCATGCACGACAAACTATAAATCAGGCTGATGAACTGCCTAAAAAGTTGAGGCGGTAGAGGGTTAGATCTCAGGTCATCTCAGGGTGCAGGTGAGAGGGTGAAAATCAGCTGTATTCCAGCACTCTGCACTGGCTGCGGGGGGGGGAGGGGGGATTCCTGGGGAGCCGACAGAAGAGGGGTCTGCCAGTGGACAGAGCCCTGTCCGGTCCTCCGGTGCTGAAAACCCACCTGTTCCGAACCCACCTGTTCCTGCAGCTCGGCGAGCCGGGTGGCCCGTTCCTCCTCGGAGTCGGAGCTGTCGGAGTCGGAGGAGGTGTCTCCACTGCTCTCGCTGCTCTCCGTGCTCTTGCTGACCACTGGGGCCGCGGGCGGCGCAGGGGGAGGGGCTGGCTCAGCGGGCTCATCGGGCATCTTGGCAAACCGCATCTCGAAAACGTCCTGCCGGGTACAGAGGGGGCACTTGTGAGGCTCAGGTGTTGAGCGTCACATTGGCATTTTACAGCCTCTATGTTATACCTATGTAGAAATCCTGTTATTGCAACATTTCGTCCTTTTGCTTTGTATAGATGTCCCACCTCAAACTATTTCACACCGATATCCAATAAGGTGACTTTTTTAACCTTCAAGAAACCACAGATTCTTAAAGGTTACCACAGCATTTGCCTGCAGCTAAAACGCAACTTCTAAAGCAGCGACTTCAAAAGCCTTCAGGATCTTGAGAGGCATTTCTGGACTGATCCAATATTGTACTATAGGGAGCAATAAGAAGCCATTGATTCACAAACCATGTTACAAATTAAGCAACAGAAAAGGTTTTGGACAAAACTAAAATTATCTTGAGAAGTGTGAAAACTGAAGAAAGTAAGAATACCTAAATGTATCTATTTAATCTTGTTTGGGCTTCACATTCAGATTTTATTGCGTTATTTTATTTTTTAATTTCTTCCATGATCCAATTTGGATCTAAGAAAATGCAAAATCTACAAAAAATAGATTTACTGCTTCTGACCAACCAAGCTTTTCCCACAACTAAATATCCAGAAAATATGAAATATGGAAGTGCAGGCTGCACTACTGAATTTAAAACACCGACTAACCTGGGATTAAGTCAGATAACACTTCCAGTAGACATCCTCAAAAAAAGACGACGCTGCAGACATACCTGCAGTTTCCGGGCCATGGCCACCACCTCGTGATCAGGAGGATTGTACTTGTAACAATTCGAGAACATTAATCGGATATCAGCTGCAAAGCCTTGAGCATCCTGGTATTCCCGGCTGTCCATCTTTTTCTGCGGACAACAAAATATTTTCATTTTTAACCCAACCGTATCAGAGCAGCCAACAGTAGCCTTATTATTCCACACTTCACAGTTCATTTTCACAGGAATCAAAAATGTGGTTTGAAAAAGAAAATGGTTTGTGTATTTGTTATGAACTCTTTACCTGGCACACTTTCTGCAGAGAGGGAGGCTTTGAATTGAATGTCTTGAAAAAGTATGAGGACAATTTTCTTAACACGGACCGAGGTGAAGATACTCGCCTTTTTGAAAGGTAGACAGCACATGGCTTCTCATTGGAGATTTTAAGTGATCTGCCTTTTTCCTTAACTGGTTCAAATTAAAATGAACGAGGTACTCACAGGTGTCTCTACAGATCACACTACTGCAGGAAATGAGAAAAAGTATGATAATCCTTACACATATAACGCACCTTTCTTAAATTGTTTCTTAAGTTGCCCCACTGGGGATGAATAAAGTATTTTGAAATAAATCTTTACACTCCACTCAAAGCACTTCACATGTAATGGGGACTCCCCTCCACCACCAATGTGTAGCACCCACCTGGATGATGCGACGGCAGCCAAGGTGCGCCAGTACGCTCACCACACATCAGCTATCAGTGGGGAGGAGAACAGAGTAAGGAGTCCAGTTCACAGATGCGCATTATTAGGAGGCCATGACTGATAAGGGCCAGGGGGAAATTTGGCCAAACACTCCAAAACGTTTTGAAAAATGCCCTAGATTTTTACATTTCATGGAGAGACAGGACCTCAGTTTTAAATCGCATCCAAAGGACAGTGCCTTTTTTCAGCATAGTGTTCCCATCACTATACTGGGGCATTAGGACCCACACAGACCACAGGGTGAGCGCTCCCTACTGGTCCTCTAACACCTCTTCCAGCAGCAACCTTGGCTGGGTCTCCCATCCAGGTACTGGCCAGGCTCCCACTTGCTTAGCTTCAGTGGGTTGCCAGTTGCAAGTTGCAGGGTGTTAAAGTAGCTGGCAAAATAGAGCACTTGGGGACATTAAAGACATTTTTAACTCAGTGTTGAAATAGAGGCAGCTGTTGTCCTGACACTTGTTAATAACCGGAAATTCATGCCATCAAGGGTTAACTAGCAGAACCCCTAGTATACTCAAATCTGGTAAGACCAGGTTCAAGATCCCAGTTTGACCTCGTCCTGTTATAGCTCAAAGGTTGGCAGAATGAAAAGATTAAGTTCTCACACTACAATATAAAGCATAAAGGGAATAAGCCAAAATAAAACAATAGAAAACTGTAGAATTCTTTAGAAAACAGAAACTTCACTGTGAAGTTTGTACAATCAAAAGCCAAAGCTATCATCAGCACTCACGAGAGAACTACCAATATTGTTTTCGAGAAAACGACCAAGCTGGCTTCCAAAAAAAAACTTTTGACGTTTCCGGACGTTTCCGGACTCGGAAAGTACACACAGAGCTACATATAAAAATTCCAGGCATTGTAGCTGTGAGGCATAAATGTATTCCAAAGGCATTCGGTCACAGCACATGCTGCACAACCTTGCCATCTATAAAGGGAAGGAGGAAGCTGATTCAGGATTGGGGACGTACTTTGACAGTACTGAGGTCCATGGGGTGCTTGATGATTTCGTGGTAGTCGTGCAGTTCCAAAGCTTCAGCGTCAACTGGCTTGTAGAAAGGCCATGCATAGGCAGCGTGTTTTTTGGAGAGCATCTCCTTCAGGATGCTATCGCAGTACTTTAGGTGCTCATTCAGTTTGCCCTTCTTCCCTGCGTGCTGTGGTACCTCCCCGTCCTCCAGGTCCTTTTTGGGGGGCTTGATGGGGCGGCCTGTACTCTCCCTCCTCGAAACCACTTTGGCCTGCTTGGGTTCCAGCAGCGGGGTGGGGGACTCGCTACGGCTCGCGGTGATGGCTGAAGTGGTGGGCGTCGTCGTGTCTGCTTTCCGCTTCACGCCCTTCTTCTGTTAAGGGAAGAAAAACAACCCCACACACAGATTACTGGGGAGGCATCTGCTCCAAATATCACATTCCTCATTCATGTGCTGGCCAAAGCTTACCCAAATGACCAAAAATTAGGAAGCCCCAAATAATGTGATTAAGAAGAAGAGACTAAACAGGGTATATTCCACTCGCATCTTCTTCTAGCAGGAAGATTGCTGAAAGATGTAGTCAGGATAATGTGTGCCACTTAACTTCAAGTTCCACTGGTTCCACCAGCCTTCAGTTAAGGTTGAGGTCTGTTTTTGGCTAAGGAAAATTTATTACATTTATATAGTGCATGAAAACTTTATCCACCCTTGACCCACCTGCTTGACATTTTGCATCAGCAGCCTCAACCACACAGCAAATCAAGTATAGAACTGAGACATTACTTCACTAGTTGAATTAAGGGAGATCTTTGGAGGGTCATAGGAGGGATTGGATGGCAGAGTAATTGTACAAAATCTTCTACAATAGTCATTTCTGGTCTAATTTACCTATTGCTTTTCTTAATTTTTTAATTAATTTTCATCTAGGTTTTTTGTGTTTTCTTCCTGAATGTACCATGCCAAGATCCATGAATAAGAAAACAGATCTTTGGAGCGTACAGCATTAGTTCCATATTTTATATCAGTAATTCGGATAAACTCTTGCTCAGAGTAACGGAAATATATTAGTATTCTTTACTGGTAGGATTACATGTGTCTATAGTTCAACTAAGAGTCTTGTAGGAAAGTTGAGTGTAGTCTGAGTGTATGGTCTTTTAGGTTAATCTGGCATGCTTGGATTGTGGATAAGACACCACCCTGCGTGAGATGTTCTGGAGGATGAGGATTTTGGTTCTGCTTTTTTGCCTATGTCAGTTGTGTTTTTCCTCCTTTCTGCTTCGGTCTTCAGTGTCCTTGTCAACTACTGTAGCTCAGGCATTAATTAAAATCCTATTTCTGATAATTATGCTGTCAATAGCTTTTTATTTATATTCTTTTTTATTGCATCTACTATGACTTTTAGAATAAATGAATCCCCTCTACCTTTACTTTTCCCTGTTTTACCGTGTATTCTGTATAAAAATAAAAAATGTATTTGCTTCCTTTACGTAACTACAGGAACAAACTTAATTATTTACTCACACTTCTGCATGTATTTGTATTAAACAAATAAAGGGAAAAAGGAAGGTAGGCCAGATTGTCAGCACAAAGTAACACCTCTACTCTTACGAACAGTGCCATGGGATTTTTACATCTCATCCACAGGACAGCACCTCACTCACACACTCTGGAGTGGGTGAGGACCTAAGTCATTGCTCATTTGGCAGCACAGGTTTTTCAAAAACACCATCAACATTTGTTTTCAGAGGGGAGGAATATTTTCGTTCACATTTTAAAAAGAGGAACATTTTCCAATAACTGAGGCCACTTTTAAATAGTGTGCTTTCTCTCAGACTTGAGCCCTGGGTGTTCCTGTTGAAGCACAACTGAATAAAAACTAAAATCCAATTCAAAAGACTTCACTGTGTGGTACAATTACAGTACCATTCTGTTGAATTTGGTATGTGACTTGTTGGGAAGCTGTTTTTTTTTGGTTGAGCTCCTACTACAGGACCTACTTTGACAACTGGCTGTGCTGGAGGACCGACAGGCATCATGGGAGCTGCAGGGGGAGCGGCCTGAACAGGCGTGACATTGGGCGTGATCGTTGGCACTGGAGTTGCTGCGATAACTGGTGTCTGAGAGACTGCAGGAGGGGTACTGGGAAAAGATGGAGGTGGAGAGACTGAAGACACTGCCGCCACCTGCTGGCTTCCTAGAAAACAACCGCAAAAGAGAAATTCAATGAGGGACGAGCAAGCAAAAGCTGGAACAAACCGATGTCCAAACTCTAAATGCATCACTGTAGGCTGGTAAACATAAAAAAACTTGTATGTTACATGTCAATTGAAAAGGAAGAGTTACACAAAGTATGCAAAGTACAACCTGAACAATTTGAAAAAAGTCCTTAAATAACATGCCGTCACCTATGAAATTCTGGATAACATTTTGCCAAGATAACCCTGGAAACAGAACCTGTACCATGTCGTATTTCTCAGATGTGCCCCAGTCTGGGCGAGTGGTGTCTTCAGGACATCTGCTGCTCTTACCAGTGCTAGGTGCTCCTGCTGGCTTCCGGCCTTTTCCCTTGGGCGCAGGTGGGAGCAGCTCCACCTCCTCCTGCGGCATCTGTGCCACTTTCTGGAGAAAGATTTTCTCCAACGCCTGAGCCATCAGGACAATATCATCGGTAGGCTAGAGGAGACAGAAGGTGATAAAGGAGGGTGGGGGTTAATACCCTTTTCCAAAAACCTAAAGATAACACTCCGCCTTTACTCAAAACAAAAGCAACACTTAGGAAAAAAAATGACAAATGACTGAAAAGAGAAATACTAAAGGCACCATTGTAAACTGAAAATTCCCTCCCCACATCAAATGAAAGGGGTTATAACTATAGTAGCCAGCAGAAAATCCTACCATGAAATTAAGGAACAAAAGCAAAAAAAAATGAAAGCAAAATAAGTCTGAGGAACAGAAATAAAAGTGAGTCAACAATACAAAATGGTGCATTGGTATGGTTCATTTTAAATTTTCAGTCACAAAGCCATAGCATTTAGAATTTCAATTAAGGCAAAATACTGCAAGCTATTACAAAATGCATGCCAAACCTACCTTATTATAAATGTAACAGTTAGTAAACATGGTATTGAAGTCTTGCATACATTCACTAGCACTCCAGTAGTAGTTATTCTCCAGTCTCTTTTTAATAGTTCCCATGTCCATAGGGTTCTTGATGATTTTATGATAATCCTGTTTGACAAAAATTAAGATATAAATTTACTTTAAAATGCATGGAACAGATGTGTAACCATATTTTTACACCTCGAACACTACGAGCACATTACCAACTAATGTGTCACCATGGTTGCAAAAGTACGCAGCAAAATTTCAAGAGGTAGGTGACAGAAGATCAAGTCACACACATTCCGTTTATATTAAAGAGCATTTATGTTCGTTCTCCACTGTGAACTGAGCAAGAAGGTGATCTCTTCCCTTTGTGGTAATATACTGGAAACAGTGCAATGGGAAAACAAGCCCAGCTCTTTATCCATGCTGATTTTACAAGCATCTGACAAGCAGCAGTATCAGTTAGTCAAACAAGTGCTCCTCAGCCATCTATAGCCACCTGGTAGCACTAATATTACCATGCCAGTAGGAAGTTCCTCTGAAAGAACCAGAACCTCTTATTTTCTGCCAGTTTGGCTTAACTTCATATGAAACAGTATTCTGTGCTTTTCCCTATGCCTGTCTACAGAATCGTATATATACTGATGGAAAAAAGAAACAACATTTTCTGGAATGCGAATACTACAGTTATAGCTTATGTACTTTCACAAAAAGTTGTTAATTTGTTTAAAGCCCTCTGACCAGCAATACAGCTTGTGCAGTGAAGCATTGCAACTTGCCAATCACACGAAAGCTCGTTAGGTGCACTTTTACCCAATGAGGTCCAGGTGGAACAATGAACGATCAGGTCACCTTTAAAAAGGCCTTAATTCAAAGCTTAGGTCACTGCAAGTAAAAGGCCCCACTTAGTCAGTTTTCTGGGCATTCCATAGTGCCTCAGATGTCACCAGAAGCAAGGGAGAGGGCCATTGGCATGCTGCAGGCAGGTATGGCATGTGCCAGCATTGCCAGATACTATGGAGTAAGC